TGAATATGATAAAGTGAATCACCTTAAGGGGAGACAAACTACCAAGACTCTCTGCTTCAGAATCAGTTGAAACAAATTTTAGCATCTGAGATACTGAAATATTTAAGTAAAGGATTAAATTTGGCAATCATTTTTAAGAGGTTGATACTGACATTGGAATATAACTTTAAATAGTAATTTAAGTAGTAGGCACATTCTTAAGTTTATAGTTCTATTTGTTTAAATATAAACAACATTTCCAATTGTGTTTTGTTTATTGCATTCTCATGGTTATGCCTGTCAACTTAGAAAGATTGTTAGGGGGCAGTATAAGTGTGAAAAGTTATTTCTGCATCATGAGCACCTTAGAAACTGGACCATATTCTTTCAGTATAACCACCTTTGAAAATCCAGAGTCCAGTGACAATTATGAAATAAAAATAGTTCTAGGGTGAGATTCCAAGCAGTTAGGTTAAACACAGCTGAAGACAAAGGTAGTTCAATGCTACAGCCCAGTGACGGAACTAGCAGATCTCAGTGAATTTTAAATTATGGGTATGGTGTAGTATAAAATAACTTTTTCATAAACGATCACATAGAAGGCTCAAAGTTTTGAGAAATTTGACTCATGTACTATTGATTTATAGATCACAAATAGAAACAAAAATATGTCAAAATTCAATAAGTATTTACAATTTATAAAAATCCTGTATTCTGATATCTAGGATGAATAATGAAAGAAAGTAGCAGTATTTGTGATAACCATCAGGCTTACATATTAAAAGAACTGCCCATACTTCATTCTACATTTTCTTAATCCCTTCCTTGTTTTACATATTCTTTTTCATCTTTTGAAATAGTGGGATCTTGGAAGGACCCAATAATTAGTACTTCTCTTTCATGCCCAAATTCTGACCAGATTGAAAAATAAAAAAGGCATGTAGATGTAAGCCAAAATATCACCTCAGTATGGATACAATCTAAGAGGATATAGATTGTACCCCAGTAGAGGGGCCGGGTGTAATTTCTATCCATACTTCAGGACCAGGAAGACCTCCCTCTCCCCAAGGGCAGAAGTGGTCTGAAGCAGGACACCTTTAGCATGGCATAGCCATCTCTGGTTGAGCAGAACAGAGCACAGGTACACTTGCTGACTTCACCCAGCAAACCGCAAAGTGATAGAAAGCTGGCACTGAGGTCTGCTCTAGAAAAATCAAAACTGAGGCCACAGTTTGACTACACCCCTAGACTAAACACCCATAGTCACATAATTAAAACTTGAACTGTCCTGATTTTCCCCAAATGCTGACTCTGATCTTAAACAAAACTCTAAGCTTTCCTCATGTCAACATGACCTTAAAGCCTCCTAACTGGCTTCAAACAAGTGAGCTTATGCAATGCAAAAAGTGTAAGTTTCCAGGTAACCAGTCACAATGGTTCCTAAACTGCTCTGTAGCAGCTGAGATCCAGCTTCTAACCACCTTCAGTTAGAAGTCTCCCTGTTTGAGAACAGTTTGTTTCTCACTCAACAAAATATTTGTATTAAGTCAAGCTCTGTATTTTCTTGTGGTAGGTGATAGGTCAATAACAAGTACTGACTTTGATAGCTATTTGTCTGATGCAGAAGTGGATGGATCTGAGAGGATGACTACGGATTATTGTAAATTTATTCATCAGGGGGCAACTCCGCTTAGAGTCACTTGTCTATTTGAAGTATCTTTACTGGAATAAACCACCACTGTCTGTAGCAACTGTTACTCTGCTCTCAATCTGGAAAGCACTTCCCCCCTCTACAACAATCTGCAAGAACCACCAAAACAGTGTGCTTGGGTCTAGTAGGACAAGACTGCACATTCACAATCTCGCCTTAGGTCAAATCGATGTTCTCGCTCTCTGCCACATATCAGCTGAGGTTTTTGAGTGTCTTTACCTCCCACACACCATGCTGGTCCACTCTCTCCATGATCTGCTGGCTGGACCAGCTGAACAGGAAGTAGCAAGTTCTTTAGGGGCCCGAGTAAGATGTATTTGAGCTCCTTTTAGAGGTAACTTTACTCCAGGTATGAAGCAATGCATCTCTCACTCAGCATCCAGTTCAACAGCAAGAACTTCATATATGGAAACAGTTAAACAGATGCTGAAGAACTAAAAAGGGAGCATCAAATTGGCAGAGACAGGTGATCTAGGAAGCAATTGCCACCCCTAGTGCTACAGAACAACGGGAAGAATTTGGGATTCTAAGAACCTAGAACTTGGAAGAAAAGCCCTATAGACTACCTTGAAGGGGTGAGGACACAGCTGGTGCTGATTCGTCTGGAGCTCAAGGGAGCCATCCTAAAGTAAAACCTGGGACTCGGGTTCTGAGGGCCACTTCTCATTGGTTGCTAAGACCTCTGAGGCAGTATGATGAAAGCTGCTCCAGGAGTGCTACAAAACGTTGGCGACAGGAACCAGTTGCCAGGTGAAGCTTTGTTGCCGTGGTGACATCCACAGGAGCAGCAAGGAAAGGAGAAACGGCAAATCTTCCTCTCGTCTCTTGGTCTCTCTCTAGTTCCCCCTACTGGATAATTTAATAAAACGCTTAGCAAAAAAGAAACTGGTGCAGAGTTCCAACTCCACAGGGCTGAATACAGAAGGCTGTGTCTAGAACAGAGACGTATTTGTTTACCAATGGACACATTTGTTACAGGAAAAATTGTAACTTTTTAGCAAGATTGTTCTCAGTTAAGTCCCAATCTATAGCCCTAATCTATCTCTCCGGCCTTATCACCTAAATCTTGGGTTTGCCATCATGCTATAAAGCCTGAAAGTGTTATTTGCTATTTCCTAAAACTCATAAAAACTCTATCATAGACCATATATATCACCTATGTTTTTTCTCACATTAGCCATTCTGTGTGGAATCGTCCCCTCCCTTCTTCATCCCACAAAATTCCACGATCATTTCAGAAACAGTTTATATTTACTGATCACTTGCTATGAGCAACACACTATTCTAGGCTCTTGACATCTTTAACTTGTTTATTTAATCCTCAACAAAACCCTATGAGTTAATCCCTATTAATTTCCACCTCTTCCAAATAAAAATGGTTGAACAGCTTGCCCAAAGTCACATAACTAATAAACAGTAGAGCTGGTCTTCCAAAACCTATGTTTTAACCAATTCAAAATACTGCCTTATAAGATCCATTTCAAAGGTCATCTTCTCCGAGAGGAATTCTAGACTCCCTCAGACTAAATCACTTGCTTCCTTCCTGATACTAATATACTTTTACCATGGCAGAGCTTTTCTGGGTACATGTTTATTTTACAGATATTTATATCTGCATCTTCTGTAAGTATCCTAGTGCACAGCTGTCCAGTAGAACTTCCTGCAATGATAGTGCTATATCTGTGCTGTGCAATATGGTAGTCGCTAGTCTCACTTGGCTGTTGAGCAGCTGAAATATAGCCAGCGTTACTTATTTTATTTTGTTTAAATTTATTTAAATTTAAGTCTACATGTGGCTAGTGTGGCTACCACACTGGATAATATGATCTAGCGCATAGCTCAGCACAGAATAAAAGTTCCTCAAAGATAGTCTATTAATGAGTGAATCATTCATGAAAAACTGCATTGGGCAAAGAGAAAGCACTCGTATAGCATCATTTTTGTTTTTCTTTTTACCCATATAAAACTCACACTGGTTTACTTTATTAATAAACATGTATATGGAGCCAGCCGAGTGGCACGTTGGTTAAGAACTGGCTTGGGATGCCAGAGGACCCCGGTTCGGATCCCACATATGAGGGCCAGTGACACTGCCCTCTACACCTAAGATGCTGAATAATAGCTCGAACTGGAGCTGGGCTGCTGTGGGTCACAGGCGACGGTGTAGGCTGCAGTCAGTGGACTGCCATAAGCTACCATGTGTAGCCTGTAGCCAGCATTGAGCAGCCGCCGTGAGGGGCGTCCAGAGGCCGGCGACTGATGTGCCTCGCCCAGCAAGAGCGCAATGACGGTGCCAGCTTGGGCCAGTGAAGCAACATCCTCCACAACTAGACTGAAGAACAAAACAACAGCAATTTGTCTGTTCCCCTTCCCCCAATTCCCCAGCACTGTTCCCATCCCCCCAATTCCCCAATAAAATCTTTAAAATAAATAAATAAATAAAAATAAACATGTATATGAATAAACATTGAATAACATATTATATGGTTCCACTATGAAGATCTATCCCATATTTTATCTTGCATAATACGTACCTACATGTCACATTAAGTGATTTTTTTGCTGTCAAGTTTTCAAAGAATTTTAATAAATTTGTTGTTGTAAATATTTAATTTATAATTGTCTATGCCTGCTCTGCAATCATTGTTTTTTTCTCTGTATTGTCACTGATAAATCCCAAGTGACTAAATCAGTGCCTGGCACATAGTAGGGATTTAATAAAGATTTGTTGGATGAATGAGTCATGCACACTGGGGCATCTTTGTGAAGTGTGAAAATCTAACTTACAAATTGTTTTCAAATATTATGTAATTTTTATGAACACTTAATGTAATAATTAAGGAAAATGTTATGTTAAAATTTGTAGACGTTAAACATGAATTCAATTTAATTTTAAAGATTTTTTTCCACTGGCCTTTAGGAGGAAAATCCCTATTGTTTCCATTTTCCAAACAAAAACTGTCCTTGTCCTCTGGAAACACCTCATACCCTCCTCAAAATTCTTGACTGAAAACAGGCCTTCAGTTGGGCAGAAATCATAGCATCTAAACCGTAAACTTCAAGGCGGGGCGTGGATGCGGGAGCTCTAAATTAGTAATGCCAACTAAAACTGAGATTGAAAGCTCCGCCCAAGGCTTAAACTCCCCAGACCGCGTCCATGCCCAAGGGGCCCAGGGATCTCGCCCCAAATCCATAGCGTCGGATCCCCAAACGGGGGGACACGCCAGGCCCAGGGCGCCCCCGCTGAGACCCCGGCCCCGCCCACGAGGCCCCGCCCCACGGATGCTGCCATAGAAACCCAGTAAGCGACATGGCTGCTTCCCGCGGGGAAGAAGGGTTTCTGACGGTGCCCAAGGCGGCCCTACCGAACTCGTCACTATCGTCACAGCCGTCAGTTCCCCACCGAGGGGAGCCTAAAAAGTGTCTGGTCTATCCGCACCCGCCGAAGCGCTCCTGCCTGCCTCCGTCCATCCTGCGCTGGCTCCAGAGCCTGGATCTCACCTTCTTTCCCAGGAATATCAACAGGTGCGGGAGAAGCCGGACCTGAGCAACCCCAACCCGTGCTGCCTCCTACCTGCCACCTACGCAGCCGCTCCGCAGGGGCTGCCCGCCTCGGGTTACCTATCCCGCCCACTCACCACACCCACAGACACACCTACCCTCTTAGGGAGCGAGCCTGAAAATAATGTGGTGACGCATTTCATTCATTCATTCAGTCAATCAATCATTAGTAAATCAATCAATCATTACATTTTAGACTTAAGCTAATATAGAATGCTTCGGTAACTACAAAAATATTAAAATAGTCAAGGTTCTTCAGGGACACTGGACAAGTTACTTGCTGTCAATACAGAGTATGAAATTGATGTTAACTATAAAATAATTCCAACTGTATAAGTAACTACATCTTATTTCGTTTCCTTATTGCTATGGATCAGGGATTTTTCAAATGGCTTCCTGATCGCAGAAATATTCACCATATATTATCCCTGGAACCTTAAGTTGTCATCCTTTGAAAATGGAGCTTCTTTAAAAGTCAAGTTGGGTAATTGGGCACAGCTGGAACAGGTAAATTAACACTCATTGACATTTTAACTGTTAAGAAGTTTGTGTTTGGAAAGGTGAGCTCCTGCTCTCTTGAATTTTTATACATCTCTTTGTGTGACTGTGTGCTATGATACAATGCTACCAAGTCGGCAGCTTGTTAACTTGTATTGAAAAGAATGTTCAAGTTTATGTCATGAGTCACCTATGAAACTGAGCATACTCATTTCAAATTGGAGCTGGAAATAATGGTTTTTGTGCTGAATAATGGTATCTTTTAAGAGCTAACATGTTAAAATCAGAAAAGTAGTTGAGAGATAAAAGGGGGATTAAAGTGAATTCATAGTAATTGGAGATTTTTATAGAACTTCTTATGATGAAAATATTTTTTCTCCTCTTAAAGTTCCTGGCCAAAAAGAAAATTAGATTACCTAAAGAACTTATCTATGGAACAATTCATTGTAAAGCTGGAGTACCTGAAATACTGATACAAGAGGTTTACACCTTGTTAACACATCGAGAGTGAGTTATTTGGAATTTTAAATTGTAGTACAATTTAATGTGAAACGTTTGATAATATAAATCTCATTCCTAACATGTGGTTTGTCAACAGTATTTTATTTTTATTTCCAGAATTAAAACTATCCAGGATGACCTTGTGAATTTTACAGACTACAGTTACCAGATGCATTTGCCCCTGGTTCCCAGGTCTACAGCTTCGAAGTCTATTAAAGATAACATTAGGTTGTCAGAATTAATAAGTAATCCCAACATGGCCAGCAATGAGTTTAAAATTGATTTCCTCTTTCTTTTACAAACGTTGCAAAGGAAATTAAGCATAAAATTGTATCCAGGTAAGTTTTCCTTGGAAATACTCAAGTGAGTTCTAAGCTTAATAATGCTCATCTTGAGCACAGATGAAAGAAAAGCCTGCCACTGTCCCATTTCTGCTTTTTCTGTCACAGGTTTAATAGGAACATACTTCTCTTACACTAGCAATGAAATGAATCATTATCATTGAAGTGGTTTATGTTATAATTCATTCTTTTTTATGAAAGCATAGGTTGACATAGTGTATAGATACTTTTTAGAAATTTTTTTAGTGAACCTGGTCACATAAAGTTTTGTGGGAAATCAAAAGTTCACATATCAACTCAAGCTACTAAAGAAGATGGGAATGTTTAAGAGTTCATCAGGATATGTAAGTACTTTTGGAAAAGCTTGGATTACAATGATTCACTCTAGATGCTCTCTAGAGTATGGTCAGTGTTATGCTTTCCGAAGTAGCCTTGCTGGTGTTTAGATGGTAAGGCAGACAGTGTCAACCCATGGGAACTTTCCAGAAGTATCACTGAAATAATTCTCAAAGCATCCAAAGCATTTACCATCAGAGTCCCAACAGAGGGCAAACAAAGAAACTGAATCCCCCACAAACTGTGAGATAGATATTTTGGTTCTTGTCCTCTCTTTACTGTCTGCTCTTCAATCTCCTATTATTTCTTGTTTCTCTTCTTTGATTTGTTGTACTTATGAACTTGTGTGAGTAGAGAAAGAATTCATGTCATCAATCCTGTTGTAGAATTTTATGTTCAAATTTTTTGTTTTTAAACATTAAAATTTTGCTGTGCCATTTAACATACATGTGCGCATCTAATGTACAATTGAGACAAATAACAATGAATATACATTTGTGTATTCTTTTTTCATTTAAGAAATAGAATACTACCTTCACATTCTCCTGTGTGTGCTCCTCTGATGCATTCTTCATTCTTCCCACCAAGAGTAGCCATTGTCCTGCTGCCTTTGTTTATAATTTCTTTGATTTAAAAAAAGTTTATCTAGGGCTGGCCGAGTGGTGCATTGGTTAAGAGCTGGCTTGGGATGCCAGAGGGCCCCGGTTCGGATCCCATATATGAGAGCCAGTGACACTGCCCTCTACAGCTAAGATGCTGAACAACAGCTCAACCTGGAGCTGGGCTGCCGTGAGTTGCCAGCGATGGCGTAGGCTGCAGCCCCTGCTGCAGTGGGTTGCCATGGGCTACTGTATGTAGCCAGCAGCCAGCGTGAGCTGCCAGCAGCTGCTGTGAGCGGCCGTCCAGAAGCCGGTGACTGATCTGCCTTGCCCGGGAAGAGTGCAATGATGGTCCCAACTTGGGCCAGTGAAGCAACGTCCTCCACAACTAGATTGAAGAACAAAACGACAGCAACTTGTCTGTTCCCCTTCCCCCAATTCCCCAGCACTGTTCCCATGCCCCAATTCTCCAATAAAAATCTTAAAAAAAAAGTTTATCTATATATACATACTATTTGTTATCCTTAGTTTAATTCATATACATTTCTTACCTTTAATTTAGTTGATTTTATCAAACTTTGTCATCAGCAGAATGTTCCCTATGTTTTTCATGCCCTGATCCCTGGAAGTGTATATGTTACATTACATGCAAAAGAGACTTTGCAGATATGATTCAAGTCGCAGATCTTAAGATAGGGAGTTTATGCTGGGTTGTTTAGGTGAGTCCAGTCACCCACATTCTCACCACTTTTTACCTGTTGTCTTTTTGTATAATAGCCATTCTGACAGATGGGTGATGATACTTCATTGTAATTTTGATTTGCATTTCCCTGGTTAGTGATCATGATTAATGGTGTTGAGTACCTTTTCATATACCTGTGGCCATTTGTATGTCTTCTTTTGAGAAATGTCTATTCAGGTCCTTTGCTCAGTTTTTAATTGGGTTATTTGTCTTGTTTGTTGTTGAATTGTATGAGTTCCTTATATATTTTGGATATTAACCCCTTGTACACTGTAATGAGAAAATACTGATGAAGGAAATGAAAGAAGACACTGATAATTGGAAAGACATCACATGTTCATGGATTTGAAGATTAATATTATTAAAATGTTATACTACACACAGTGATCTACAGATTCAATGCAATCTCTCAAATTCCAATGGCAGTCTTTACAAAAATAGAAAAAATAACCCTAAATTCATATGGAACCACAAAAGACCCTGAATATCCAATGTAAGCCTGAGAAAGAAAAACAAAGCTGGAGGCATCACACTTCCTGATGTCAAACTATACTACAAAGCTATAGTAATTAAAACAATATGGTTCTGACAGAAAGACAGACCTACAGACCAATGGAACAGAATAGTGAACCCAGAAATCTATGCATTTATTATAATCTTCAATAAGGGTACCAGGAACACACAAAGGGAGAAAGAATAGTCTCTTCAATATATAGGGCTGAAAAAACTGTATATCCACATGCAGAAAAATGAAACTGGACTCTTGTCTCACACTATATACAAAAATGAATCCAAAATGGATAAAGACTTAAACTTAAGACCTAAAACCATAATACTACTAGAAGAAAACATAGGGGGGAAAAGCTTCTTGACATTGGTGTTGGCAATGATTTTTTTTGGGCTATAATATCAAAAACATAGGCAACAAAAGCAAAAACGAACAAGTGTGATTGTATCAAACTGAAAACCTTCTGCACAGCAAAGGAAGCAATCACAAGGGTGAAAAGGAAACCTATGGAATGGGAGAGAATATTTGCAAAGCATGTATGTGATAAGAGGTTAGCCTTTCAGTTTTAAGGTGCTGTCTGCAGTTGAAACGGAGAACCAAAGGTCTCAACACCAGTTTTTGCATAGTCTATTCTTTTCCCACTGATTTGTAATACCCTCATGTTTTAAGTGTTTCAAGTCTCTGTGCATACTTTCAACTGTTTCTGAGCTCCAGTGGAGTTGCCTACACGTGTGCCACTTCAACCACCACACTATCGCTTTATAGTCAGTGTTGATACTTGGTAAACAAGTCCTGCAATTTGTCCTTTTATGATGTGTCCTGTTGCATGGACCTTTGTATTTCATTTACTGTGACTTCTATTGTTGTGGAGTCAGTAACTCTGCTTATTGTTATATATGCATCCGTATTATATTATTTTGTGCTTTTCATTTATTCTCTTTTTCTGTTTCTTGTTTTTGTCTCACCAACTTTTCTTCTTTTGGGATAATTTTTTTTTCCTCTAAAGACTTTCCCCGCTCCACTAATTTGGAAAATTTTAAATTTCTACTCTTTTTAGTGCTACCCTAGAAATTTTAACATGCATATTTATCTTGGTTTAAAATTAATGAATATCTTTACTGTCTTCCTCAAACTACAAGGACCTTAGACATTATGACATTGACTACACCCTGCCCACCCCCTATGCCACTTAAGTTCTTTTGTTGTCCAGCATTTTAGTTTTGTCATTTTTTAACACCACACATCAGATACCATTCTTTTTTATACTTAATGTTTGCTTTAATCTATCTCATTATTACTTCTACTCATTGGTTCTAGTAGGGATTTCTAGAACCACACACAACTATTCCAGGTAATCTTCTATTAAAAGTCCATCTTTGTGCAAAGGTTACACATATCTCTCTTTTTTCTTTAACCCAATTTCTCATAAACCATGGATCACCTCAACCCTTCAGATTCTTGAATAGTATCTATTATCGCCAGTCTTGATTTTTGAGACTACTGATTTTAAGCAGCCAAAGTAATTAATTGTGATAATTACCATTCTTGGAAATGTTACTGACCAGAGTTGTATCTATCATTAGCAGGACATGGCTGATGAGTAGAAATTACCTTGGCCACGTCAAGCCTCAATGAAGGTTGAGCTGAGAGGAGCAAGTGATCTTCAGAAGCTTTAGAAACACAGGGAAATTGATGCCCAAGTTTGACAGCTTATAGGATTAGTGAATAAGAAATATAGGAAACATAAATAGTCACATTTTTATAGTATAAAAATGTTTGCTAAGTGAAATAGTGTATGATTTTATATTTATGAAATACAAAAATTGGTAAAATTAACCTTTGATGATAGAAGCTGAGACAGTGTTTTCTTTTTAGGCTACTGTATGGGAGAGACAAGAAGGGAGTTTTGGGGTGCTAGTAATATACTATTTCTTGATCCAGGTGATGGTACCCCAGGTTTATTCACTCCAAAAATTCATCAAACTGTAAACATATGTTTGTTCATTTTTCTGTATACATATTATTGAATAAAAAATTACCAAAAAACTAATAGGAACATAAAGACATTTCCTTTAAAGTAACTTTTTAAAGCGACTATTTTGTGCATCAAAGATGTGAACAATGTGGGGAGAGAGTTATTAACCTATGCATTCACACCACTCTTAGAAAAATGATAGAACAGATGTATAAATAATTTGCTTAATTTCTAAATTATGGTGCTTTATTTTGTCAATGGCCACAGTGAGTTTTTAAGAAACAATTTTATTGTTTACATTTTCTAGAATGGTTTGATGTCAAACCAACAGTGGGAGAATTTACTCTGGATCAACTTCCTGCCCAGGCCTCTGAGTCAGAACACAATTCAGTGACTTCAAGCCAAAGAGTTGCTCCTGTTTTCCGTAAGTATTTTTGTTGTTTTATTTTATTTTATTTTTTGAATTGGGGGAGGGGAACAGTATTGGGAAATTGGGGAAGGGGACCAGCCTAGTTGTTGTTCTCCAATCTTTGTTGTGGAGGGCACCAGTCACCATCTGGCTTCTCTTCGGCAGCTTGTGGCCTCTTAAGCTCAAGGTGCTGTGTTCAATCTTAGTTGCGAGTGGGCGTAGCCACCATCCCATGTGGGAGTCGAACCAGCAGCCTTGTTGTTAAGAGCACGTGCTCTATCCGCTGAGCCATCTGGGCGGCAGCTCAGCTCAAGGTGCTGAGTTCAGTTTTAGTTGTGGGCGGGCATAGCCCACCATCGAACAGGCAATCTTGTTAGGAGCATGTGCTCTCACCAGCTGAGTCATCCTGCCACCTGTTGGCAGCTCAGTGGCAGTTCAGCTCGGGCGCAGCATCACTGGCCCATATGGGAATCGAACCGGTGGCCCTGTTGCTCAGAGCTTGTGCTCTTAAGCTAACTCTTAACCAACTGTGCCACTTGGCTGGGCCCAAGCTAATTCTTAATCAAATGAGCTATTTGGCAGGCCTCTGTTGTTTTATTTTTAACCTTTTACCTGTTAAAGTAGATTTTCTTTTTTTTACTTTGCTCATTTAAATTTTTTTAAATGTTGGTCTAAGCAGTCATTCTTTATTTTTTATTTCTTATTGTTAGTTTCAGGTGTACAGAACAATGCAATAGTTATCCTTTTCACCCTCACAGAGTAACAAACCCCCTCCCCACATGTATTGCCCTCCCACCCCCGATATCATGCTTATCTATTACAATTCCATTGATTCCAATCCCACTCTCTATTCCATGTCCCGAGATTAAATGTATATATAATTATAGATGACATACAATCTTATTCAACATCAGTTTCAGAAATACAGTGC